CCGCAAAGCGATACAGGGGTGGCAGATGTGTTTGGTTTCCGCATATCGACAAGGATAGGTTCTATTTTGGTGAGATCTTGACTGTCGTGCATGAGGAAGGGCAGGTGTCGTGGAGTTTACTTATCGGAGCCCCGATAGTCCCCACAGTGCAAATCTTAAGGGTCCACTGTATACCATTAAATGCGACAAAGATGTTATAGATATTTTTAAGATTCACTATGAGAAAATTATAATTCTATATATGCCGAGGATAAAGGCTTTCCAATGCGCATATGTGATGCTTATAGACATGACATGCGGAGACCTAACGAAGGTTTTTTGTTTGAAAGGCATCGGGGAGATGAGGAAAGTAGCGTTCCGAGGAACACCGTTGTTGAGGACAATGAGGGTGATGTGGACAATGAGGGTGATAACGTTCATGAGGTAACAGTAGCAGACGATGTGTGCAGAAACAAGAATGAAGGTTTTCAAAGCTACGGATTTGAGAAGTTAACCGGTGGATTTAATAAAACAATTGGAGATTGGGATCACGGGGCAAGGGCTGTTGTGAGCGCTGATATACCGATGGATGAACCCCACGTGGCGGCTGAAAATAAGGCAATTGAGGATTGGGATCACGGGGCAAGGGTTAACATGGCTACAGATGGATGGATTAGTGATGGCCTGAGCGAGAATGACAGGGTACTGCGGAGTCCGGCCGGTTCTAACGACACACGGGGGCCGGCCTACGAGGAATAGGATGAAGAAATGGAGGAAGCCGACTGTAATTTGAAAGTCGGGATGGAAATTTGGACCGATTGAAATATAGGCAAACCCTCTGTGATTGGGCTATAGAGCGTGGGTGAGATATAAATCTTATAAAGAAAGAAAGAAAGAAAGAAAGTTATAGTCGTATGCAAGAAGGGTTGTGATTGGAGGATTCACGCATCTTCCATCATGGGTGGAAAAACCTTCCAGATCAAAACCCTAATGGGTACAATCAATGTTCACACCAGTCGTCAAACGTGCAACAACAGCTCCCACAAATCGGGCGAGAGATCATTGTTCCCAACCTGAACAATAGGTAAGAAGCCAACTCAGTTTGTTATCACTGCTGAAGTGTGTTCAAAATTTATTTTCAAATTATGCTGCAGTTTAAATGAACAAAACACGTCTAAGGGAAGATCCCACCAATTGGCCATCTCACTACTTAGGCCAGTCAGCTGTGTTTTTGGGTTGATTTTATTGGGGAAATTAATATATCAATTTAAATTCAAATTTAAGCTAGGGTTAAAAAATTAATTAGTCACAATCAATAGTAAATTAAAAATCAAAATATATTTGAAAGAAATTTACGTCTACAACGTGAAAGAATATAAATTCTTGATCGTTTTGTAAACGATCTTCTACTGTTATTAGCCCGCCGTGAGAAAAAAATCAAACAATATATAAAATAAAATAATAAATTAACGCAAACAAAAAAAAAATAAAATTTTAAGTAATGTGAATTATAAATGAAGTCTCAAGAAAATTCATACATATCAATGATGTTAGCATATTTTTTATATATTGTCATTTGGGGCTTGCCTATATATGAACTCTCTTTTTAGATTAATATACAATTTCTATTTTTCACAAATACTCAAAAAAAAAAATGAGAAATAGAAAGAAAAAATATTGATCTTCTTGTAGTCATTTCTATTATGTCGTCTAACCCCAAAATTTAGAAAAAATAGTAATAATATTTAAAATAAAAATACATTAACTAAAACAAAAAGATTATATAATATTAAATAATGTCAATCATAGGGCTTTTTCACAAAATTATATTCCAATTTTTTAAATTAATTTCACTCATATTAAATTTAAAATAAAATAAATTTAAAAGAAATTCATATCCATTATGAGAATAAATACTATTTAAATAAAAAACTAAAATTATAATCTCAATTTTAAATAAAAACCAAGCAAAAACCTTTAATTTTTAAATTTTAGATTTGAATCTATTTAAATGAAAATTAGTATTTGAATTTGAAAGGTGTTTATATTAAAAATTTTGAAAATATTTTAGATAGTTTTTAGAATAGTAATGATTTAAGAATTGATGTTGTTTGGTTATGTAAATAAATTTGTAATAATATAGGTGTTTCCTGGGTTTTGGTTTTAAATAATAAAATTTTGAATTGAAATAGTTATTTGATGTGACATAAATATGTATTGATGTGATGTTTTGAATGTAAAATTAAATTTTAGCCTAATATAATCAAAATTAAAAGTTTGATTTGATTTTTTTGGAATTTTTTCTTTTGGAATAATAAAACCAAAATCAAAATTCTACAAGTAAATACACATACTCTCTTTGTTCTATTTCAATTCTCGGTTTTTTTTATTCCACTTCAAAGGTTTCTATTTTTTGTAATATTTCTTAAATCTAAAAATATTTAACAAATATATCTCAATACCATCTAAAACATTTTTATTTCTAACTTTCTTTAGTAAATAATTACTTTTAACTACATTAAATTTTTTTTTATAAAATTATGTAGTCTTAATTATAAATATATATGTCTATATAATTTTTTATTTGTATTATTTAAAATTTTATTTTATGTAAAATAATATTTTGCATATATTTTTATTAAGTAACAATATATACAAAAATTTTAAATTTATTTTAATTATATATTAAATCTTAATTTAAATAATAACAATTAAAAATAGTCATCAATTGCGGGTCCATAGCTCAGTGGTAGAGCAATTGACTGCAGATCAATAGGTCACCGGTTCGAACCCGGTTGGGCCCTTTTTGTTTATTATTGATAATAATATATTAATGATGTTTTTGCATTTATTTTTTGGACGGATGGAGTATATACTAAAAAATAATTAAAATTCTAATTAAATAATACAGTATCGATTCGGTTCAACGCGGATATAAGATTTTTTCTGTAAAGAGACAAAAGAGAAGAAAAAGAAGCAACAACAAAATTCGCCTATTAAAAATATATCAATATAGAGTTTTTTTAGATACACCACAATCAGTATCCAGTGCAGTCTTCACAGTTCCATTCCAATTAGGCTTGTCAATTGGAACTTCATATGAACACCAGGTCCATATCAAGATCCATATATATTTTATATAAATCCGGATAGATAAGTATTATTTATTAATTCCTCTGTCAGGATTTTGGAGTTTTGTAGTAAATTAAGAAACAATATGTATTTTATTGATTAGTGAAAATGTGTATTGGTATATTTGTAATTTAGATAAAAATTAATGATATTTTGGTATTAATGTATGAAAACTTTTACTAAAAAAGGAAAATATATTTTTGAGTGAAACAGACAAATATAGTAAAAATAATACTTTGAATTAGTAGAGAAGAAGTAATATATTTATATAATTATATACTCGGTATATAACATTAGATAATTTAATTTATTTATTAGGCATTATAATATTATTGTTACTAGATGTTTTTTATATTTAAATTGAAAATATATATTAAGTAAATATAATCGTTAAATTTTTTCAAATATTGATAGATTTATGCATTGACCTGAACTTGAATCCAAATGTAATATGTATAAAATTGGACCCAAACCAGATTCGGTCAACATTTTAAAAGCTCCGACGGATTCGATTCCGGATCCGACCCATTGACAGAACTTTATGAAATGCTATTTTTATATAAGTTATGTGCTATTTGTATATAAATATAATACTATCCAAATATATTATAAGTTATCCACTATAATGCTAAATGAACGTTAACTATGTGATGTTTGTAGACTGGCCGGACAGGTCAACACGAGTCTTGTCCTCACTCACGCGCATTCTGGGAGACTTTTAGGGAGTCACCCATCCTGAAATTATTTTAGGACAAACATGTCTAACTCTAGAGTTTTTTCAGTAGAATTTTCGAAAAAGAATGTTATGTTAACATGAGTAATCTATTTAATCCATTTAACATTTATTCAACATCGAATGGCTTGAAATCGGCTCATCCACGGGAGTTGGCCTAACACTTATCCAACACTGAAGGTATTACATAAACTATGTGCTATTTTTATATTTGAATACAATATATCCATGTCTTTTGTGCCTTCTTCCTCGCTACTATGCATTTTGTCTTCTCTCTCTGTTTTTCATATTATGTTTCATACTTAAACAATTTAATCTTTCTCCGTCTTCCTTTTTTTTTTCATTTTCTTTAATATCTCTTTCCGTTGATCTTTAAATCTTTATTTTCTTCCATGTCTTCTTCCAATGGTTATTCAAAGATTTGTTTCGTATCTCCACATCTTCATCTTCCTTCTTCTTCATCCATTTTCCTTCACCATCCTACATCCCATCTTTCTCTGCCTTTTTGTTTTCTTCAACGTCTTCTTCAATTGTTTATCTTATTTTCTCGTTGTCTACTTCCTCGTTTCTCTTTTAAATAATATTTTTATCCTAAATGATATTATAACCGTCGAATTAAAATTTAATCCAATGGCTTACAATTAATCAGGAGGATGCTGATTGGCAAGTAATTAACATAACTCCTCCCTAATTTATATCATTCCACATTACACTTATTTACAACATACCAAATCTATTACAATTGAAATATTCCTACTTTATACAATTAACCTTCTCGAAGTATTTCTACTTTAGTCACAATTAACCAATATACTAATATATTGAGTATATTAGGATGGAGGAAGTAGTGCATAGTAAAAAAAAAAAGAAAGAAAAAAAAACTAAAACATAGACTAAAAATTATTTGGAAAACCACATTTGTAACTATAATAATTATTGAGTATTATTCTTTCATAAGAAAAAAGAGCTTATTCCAAACACGAATGAAGATCAACACATATTAAAATAACAACAATCATCAATTACTTGCAGCTAAGCATATATGCTGCAAACAAAAACTATTAAATAGTCCCATAATAAAATCCTCAAAAACCATTAGAGAAACTACCAACATCATCATCAGCAGCACTAGAAAATTCTCCAAAATCATGGAGGATCAAAAGGCATCAGTGTTTGTAGGGGAGACTTCCCCCAAATCAGTAGAAGAACTAGCACAAGTGGTGGTGCCACCAAAAAACCCTTCAAAACCAGCGTCATTGGAGATGGCCCCACCGGTAGCAACGCCACTTGAAAATCCTTCAAAATCAGAAGAGCCGCCACCGGCAGTGGCACTAGAAAACCCTCCAACCGTTGAAGAACTACCGTTTGCAAGAACTTGATGGCCCTCCTGGTTGAGTTCTTCAGCCCTTTTCTTCAGCTTCTTAATCATGTCATTTACCATCTCATTTACTATCTTTAGCTCGGTAAAGTGCATGTCATCCAATGGCTTTTTGGCAAGAAGTTGATTGCCCTCCTTCACTGCAATCGCCTTCATAAGCTTATTAACGTTCTCCTTTTCATTTTTTATAATTTCTTCCAGATAACTCTCGTGAGTCACCATATTCTTATTTTTTTCGAGTTCCGGTAACTCCGTAAATTTTGTCACCTGCTCCGCCACTTCGTCTGGTGATGGCCAAAGAATGACATTGCTTTCCCCGCCCTGTTGGTGGCCGATGATGGCGATGTCAACGCCATACAGATTCCGCAGTTGCTCAGCCTCCTCAACAAGATCTTCCTTTTGTTTAAAAATGACAGAGTTTTGCTCATTCTCATTTGCAATTTGCTCTTGTTTTATCCCCCTCATAGTCATTTATCTTGTATGTGATATTTTTTCTTTTGAAAATACGATTCAATTTATAGGAGAGTGGGTTTTTTTAGGAAAAATGCAATAAATTTGACTTTATTACAATTTTCCTATGAATTTGTGTTATTGTAATTTTTAATGAATCGGGGAAATAAATGTGATCCCTAATAGTAACTACATTCAATCTTAATAAATGTGTATTTATTATTTTTTTTTTCATTTGTGTAGATTTCGTTGTAATTATTGTAACGGGTAGGTGGATTGAGGATTAAATTTCAATGTTGTTCGGATAATTATGGTAGAGTTTTTTTTTTTTTTTTTAAATTTTTAATTATGTTTTGAGGATGCATTTGCAAACATAAGAAAATAATGGAGTTCTTTGTAAAATTATATGGGTTATGATTATTTTTTTTAATATATAATTATTTGACGAATTTATATATATAGATTTTTTTTGACACAACATTATTTTACTTTCATAGTATATATGCCTTTTTAATGAGTAATCTAATGATTTGTATTTAGAATAAATAAGTGTATGTTTTTTATGTGAATGTCCAAATGCCACCCCTTCCAATCAAACCAATTGCCTGAAGCAAAGCTTGTAAGCATTATGATAAATTGTTTTTGGCTTAATCACTAGCTCGAGATATAGATCACACTGATAAAGAATCAAGACCTATCCGCCCAAGCCTAATAATTATACAATCTCATATATTTGAAAACACATGATGTAATTTCTTACATCATAGGGGACCCATAGAGTTCTTGAGAGCGCCAAACTATAAGGAGTTCCTTAGTGGAGGTCAAGGGACCCATAGAGTTCCTCCACCCCCGAACCCCGGCCAATGGCCACTAAAATCCCTTTTTTTGGCATATTTATTTGGTTCTATTTTGTTAATGTAGTTCACTGCTTTTGTAGAAATTGATCAAATATTATTTTCTTCTTCATCTATCACACACCCAAGTTTATGTTTGAATTGTTTCGGTTTGGTTCTTGATAAAATTGTGGAAGGGTGAGAGAAGGTAAAAATTTAATCTTATGATTGCATTGCATTGTTAACATAGATTAGGTAATTTGTAGCATATAAATACGTGGGAGCCTTGTCGATCTACTTAGTAAGTTATCTGAATTTAATCATGATTAAAGAGAGATATTAGAGGGGTATACCCACTGGTGAAATAGTTTTAACTAATAATTCATTAAACATAGGTTCTTCCCTATCATGTCTCACAAATATCCCGTGATAGTCATTTCTCTTTTAAATAATGTTTTTAGCTATGAATTTGAAGTTTCATTGTAACTCCTTAGGTCAAGTACCAATCAAGTCAAGAATTTGATTTGAATGAACAAGTATGATGACACATTTACTTCTGTCTATTTTCTCTCTTATTGGTGTATTTTCCATTAATTCACCATAGTCACAACATTCATTTCATCTAGGGAAATCTATTCCTTTAGGAATGCAACTTATCTCAGACACAAACACCTTATTTCATTTTATCATCAAATACAAAAATTCATTTATGCTCACAAATGTTGTTTGTTCCTATTATCACTATACATATACTCTCTACGCTCACCTTTGTTTTCACTTCATTCACTAAGAAGAAAGCTTTTGCCTCACTCACCGCATGCATGTTGTTCACTCATCTAAATCCATCTTATGATTTTCTCACCTAGTTTTGCTTTTACTGCTTTTATTAGACTAATGTTTACCACTTCGTTGCATGTTTTTCGTTCCTGCTTTTTCGCTTCACTCAGACTCACTGTAAGTAATTCATTGGTTTTATTTCAAGATATAAAATCTATGGGTTTGATCTAGACACTCACCAATATAAAAGAGTATAAATATATTTTTGATAGTAAGTTTAGGCAACTACAACAAAACTTCAATTGAATTTATGTCACTTACAATATGCCAAGATTACAAGATTTACAATAATCCATTATTTGTCCCTGAACATTTTTCTATATCACATGGCCACTGGGATTCAACAGATGATTTTGATGTCCTCACCCATTCTCCCATCTATAAGTATTTTTAGTGACTATAGTGAGAGCGAAACCTCACTCTTTGATATGACCCTTAGATCGATATAGTTCATAGAAAACCTTGGATTCTATGGAGTTTAAGCGAGAGCGATCAAAATGAGTCATCTTCTAATGTCAACAGTGAGTCTCGTTCTTTTTCTGCTATTATTATCTTCTGCTCGAGTATGGACTTCATAGTAGGAATTTTTGAGTAAGCTCCTAATGTGGTCCTTATCTAGATTGGAGTCGCTACTAAGTAAATCAAGATGGTTGTCCAAATAAAGTTGCTTAAGTTCATTTATCCCGTATTTTTAAAGCATTGTCAAAGTAATGTCCCAATAGCAATGGGATACGTCTAGTTGCCACCAATGTAATCAAAGTGAATGTGACCTTAGGGACTCCGCCTTTGTTGTTCTAAAGTTTGTTGGCCTTTGAATAAAGTTTGGAAAAATTATCCTTTCATTTTGAATTAAATTGGGTCAAATATATGTAGAGAAATGAAATATTGAAGATCTTACTATAATTAACTACAAAATCGTTATTTGAAGGCAATTCAAGCCTGCGAGTGATGGTTTCTATGTTGGCATATAGAGGAAGATGCAAATGTGAAAATGGATGGTTTGGCCTTGACTAAACTAGATATTCAGCAGCCAGGGAAATGAAGATTCTCTGTGGTATTAACACTACCCCCAAACCCAATTCGTTGACTGCTCTAGGCGATGATCCTACTTTTACTGTAAAAGTACTATCTCCGCCTTTGCTATCTATGCTTCCTCGTCGCTAAACTACTTATTTACTTCTAGTTACTCTGTTAAGAAAGGTTAAAGAATGGCTGAAAAATTAAAAGGGCAGAGGGCTATTTATAGATACGTATAGATCTAAAGTGAGATTGTTGCAACAATTGGTAAAGAAGAGTATTAAAGTGAGAACTCCTGGTAGCGAAAACAAAAAAGAGTACTTAAGTACAAATAGAGGGTGAAAAGGGTGAGGAATGGATCAATGAATAAATGAATGATTGAAATCAAACTAGTGGGACTAAAAAAGAATCAGAATGGGCAATAGAAGGTAGTGAAAATGTTGCTCCTACATTGAATTTCATAACGAGGATATGAATTAATTAATATGGGTTAGTCTTAAGGTTCTAAAATCATGATTTGGAGATAAAAACCTTCTAGTTAACTGATGGGAACTAATGTTAGAATTGACTATCAAAGTAGTATTTCTAGTCTATTAAAATGGTAAATTATATTGAATACTATAAATGTGACACCAGAACCCGCAAGCCACGCAAAGCCGGGTGTGTCTGGATAGTAAACTAGCCCCACAGGTCAAAATGAGTCCTTTCAGCGCACTTCTGTCCTTACTCACATGCACCCTGGGAGACTTCCCAAAGTGGTCACCCATCCTCAAATTACTATAGAGCAAATACGCTTAACTCTAGAGTTCTTTCAGTAGGGCTCCTGAAAAGAAATGTGCACATTGTTGACATGACTAGTCTATTAATCCATTTAATAACCTCTATTCAACTTCGGATAGCCTAATACATTCACACATGGGAGTTAACCAAGCAATGTCCCAATTACGGAGGTATCACATCCTCCCCCACTTTAGAATACAACGTCCACGTTGCATCCTAAGAATCGCTCAACTGCTAGGCTTATCAACAGTCCGGTCAACAACTATGGGTTGTCTCAGGTCGGCTCTGATACCAACTATGACACCTCGGCCCGCAAAGTCGGGTATGTCGGGATTGTAAACTGGCCCCAAAAGTCAATATGAGTCCTTCCAGTGTGCTTCTATACTCACTCATGCGCACCCTGGGAGACTTCCTTACTATAGGGCAAGCACGCTTAACTCTACAGTTCTTTCAGTAGGGCTTCCAAAAAGGAATGTGCACACTGTTGACATAAGTAGTCTATTCAATTTATTTAACCTATAATAAACTTCAAATTGCCTAATACTGGCTCCTCCACACAGGGGAGCTGGCCAAACATCGGCCTAATTCCATGAGGTATCATATCCTTCCCCACTTTAAAATGTAACATCCACGTTGCACCGCAAGGATCCTCAACTGCTAGGCCCCGTCAACAATCCGATCAACGACTGCGGGCTATAGCAGGTCGGCTCTGTTACCAACTGTGACACCCCAATCCGTAAGCCACAGAAAGTCGGGTGTGTCAGGATCATAGACTGGCCCAGTAGGTAAACATGAGCCCTTCAAGCACGCTTTTGTCCTCACTCACGCGCACCCTGAGAGACTTTCCAAGGGGTCACTCATCCTCAAATTACTTTAGGGCAAACACATTTAACTTTAGAGTTTTTTAACTAGGGCTCCCAAAAAGGAATATGGACATTATTAATATGAGTAGTCTATCTAATCCATTTAACAACCTCTATTCAACTTTGGATGGTCTAATACCTGCTCATCCTCACACGGGATTTGGCCAAGAAATGGCCCAACTCCGGGGTATCACATCTTTCCTCACTTTAGAATGCAACATCCATGTTGCACCCCAAGAATCGATCAACTGCTAGGCCCGTCAACAATGGATTAAATAGACTACTTGTGTCAACAATATGCACATTCTTTTTTGAAAGCTCTACTGAAATAAGTCTAGAGTTAATTGTGCTTGCCCTAAAGTAATTTGAGAATGGGTGACCTCTGGGAAGTCTTCCCGGGTTTGCCTGAGTAAGGATAGAAGCGTACTGAAAGGACTCGTGTTGAGTTATGGGTCCAGTCTATAATCCTGACACGCCCAACTTTGCATGGCTTGCGGGCCGGGGTGTCATAGCTAAATAATAGTATGGAAATTCCAGAGAACAAATCAGAGTGGTGCAAAAATATCTTATTTACAACGGTAACACACTGAATATAAATGATCATGTTATAGCAAACCTAAATGAAATTTTGAAAAGTAGTTTCAACAAAATTTTTAATGTCTTTTCAAAGCCTAAAGTTGTACAAGAACCT